TACGCCCTGCCCTGGAACCCCACCTCGGGTCCCTCGCACCCCACGTCGTGACCCTGGCCTCAGAGGAGCTGCCCCGCCCGTGACCTTCGCGGCGCCCCCCACCCTCACCCCGCACCCGATCCCTTCCTGGCCCTGCGGTTTCACCGAGGTCTCTGTGTCCCAACGTCCTCCACGCCCCTGCTCGCGTCCCCAACGGACTGCCCACGTCAGCGTCTGCCTGTCGCACGGGTGGCAGCGAGGGAGCTCACTTCCTTCCCTGCCCAAGGCTTCTCTAGAGAACCATTCTCACACCTTCCACCTGGACGCCTGCAGCTCTCGCGCTTCGCAGAGCGGTTATTGCTTTAGGAACGGGGGCTTCTGTTTCTTTTTAAGAATAAGCTTCTTAGTGTGAATCCGGGTGAAAGTTTCCAGAGCAGGTCAGTTTTCCATTCAGCCACTGATACAGTTTATTTCCTCTCATTGATTGCAACCCCCACAATGAACCATCACACCCGAGTATACCTACTTATCATTAGGTCCTGTTTGGGGAATTAAACACTTATTAGTTATCAATTCACAGGTCATCTTTGTTTTGTATTTTGTGTTGAGCCACGAGTGGAATCTGCCTACCATCAAGCTGGTGTAGCAGACGGTACAATCAGTGGGTTTGAGTATGTTTGCAAAGTGTGCAACCATCGTCACTAATTCTAGAACGTGTTCCAGAAAACTGTTTATGGGAATAGAAAGTCTTTCTCCCTTGGAGCTCTTGGTGGTTTTGAGCTATCAACCATGCAGATCACAGGCCTCCTTAGAACACGTTCATTACTCCAAAAACGAAATCCTGTACCCATTAGGTGTGTGGGGATGGGGTGGGGGCGGCAGCGGGCAGTCACTTTTCAGTCCACCTTTCCCTCAACCCCTGGGGACCACTCGTCTATTTTCTGCCTCTGAGCCTTTACTCTGTACATCGTTGAGGAATGGAATGATACAATACCTGGTCCTTTGTGACAAGCTTCTTTAACTTTGCCTATCTGTAGCAAGCATCAGTGTTTTGTTCCTTTTTAGGACTGAGCAACAGGCCGTGTTGTGTCTAGGCCACATTTCACGTCGTCATTTGCCAACCAAATAAGTCCCTGCTGTTGAGTGGGCTCATCGTCGCCCTGTTAGACAGAATAGAACTTGGCCAATAGGGTTTCTAAGACCATTATCTCTGAAAGCAGACTGCCACTTCTTTGTCCCTCAGAGCAGCCGGTAGCTTTGGACCATGGACCCTTTTTGGTTAACAGCTGAATACGGAACACTGAGTAACCAAGGGCTTGTCACCAGTTGATGGAGATTTGGGTCACTTTCACTTTTGGGGCTGCTTTGAACATTTACGTACTTTCAGTGTTTTTGAACGATACCTGGGAGGGGCTGCTGGCTTATGTGGTGACTCTAGATTGGACTGTTGTTAGCCACTACCCGTTTTCCACAGGAGCTGTGCCGTGTACCATTGCCTCTAGCAGTGTGTGAAGGTTCCGTTGTTCTAGAGCTGACAATTGCAAGGTCTTCGGTTCGAATTCACCACTTGTTCCATGGGAGAAAGATGAGGTTGTCTGCTTCTGAGAAGCCTTAAAGTCATGGAAACCCAAAGGCGTGGTCTCCTCTGCCCTATAGCGTTGCTCTAAGCCAGAATGGACTCGGTGACTTGAATTTGGTTTTGAGAGTGGAGAATAAGAATTTCAAATCATGTTGATGATTTTTAGCTCTCATACTGAGGTTTTTATCCATTTTCAGTTTATTTTCTATGCTAATGTGAGTTAGAAGTCTGACGTCTTTTGCATGTGACTAGCCAGTGTCAGGGTACCCTCCCTAACACATCATCACAGGTTCGGTAGGCGCAATTGTACAGTGACAATAAGTAAAGCCATAGAGATAAAAGAGAGATTGAAATAATGGAGTCAGACACATTTCATAGTGTCTGGGCTCACCTCAGCCCCACTTGGTGGTCCACGTGGAGAGAGAGACAGAGAGATTTATTGCTAACCAAGGCTTTTATATCCTCTGGGGATGTGCAAGCCCCTTAATTACAGGTGAAGACATATGTCACAGGAAAGGGTTGTGCTATAGGTAATACAGTAATGGGAGGGGGGTGGTCTAGGGAGGGATTGGGGGTACACATGTGACAAGATGGGCAGACCCTAGATTCACGATGGCAGCCGAACTTTGGAAGTCACTGAGCCTGTTTGACCTGTTCTCTGGCTCACTATAGAAACCATTATCAGTAGGGTGTAAACCCACCCACAGACTAATGGCCACAAGCCTTTAGGAAGAAGTAGCCCATTGTCCTTAACAGCAAGGAGTGGGTCCTACCTGTGCTGGGACCAGACAGTAGTCTGGCAGCTGACTGCCTTCAGGGAGGTAACTTGACAATCATTTACCATTAGGTGCAAGCACTGTCCTAAGTGGAACATCTATTTGGGGGAGACGACTTGGGAGAAACCTTTCTGTTTCCCACAACCCAGTTGTCCCAACACCATTTGTTAAAAGACTGTTCTTTTCCCCATTGAATTATTGTGGCATTCTTTTTTAAAATTAATTGGGATTTAATACATGCGAGGGGGTGCCCCCCCCCAATGGATTTTTTTTCAAAGCTACATATTTACATTTTTTTTACAAAACAACCTTTTCACCTTCAAGGTACTCTCCATGACATTTTAGACATTTGTTAAATCTGCGATTCCATTTTTCAAACTCGTCTGGTTGGATGACTGACAGCACCTCCCTCATTTCTTCTTCACCTCTTCTGCATCATCAAATCTCTGTCCTTTCATGTCTCTCTTCATCCAGGTCGACAAAAAGAAGTCCCATGGAATGAGGTCAGGTGAGTAAGGTGGGAGGGGCAAGAGAGGCATGCTGTTTTTTGCCTAAACCTGGCACCCTAACATGGCTGCGCGAGCAGGTGCATTATCATGGTGGTAAAACCAGTCCCCCATCTGCCACGAATCAGGCCATTTTTGTCACACACTGTTATACAATCTTTAAACCTCTAAATCAAAAGCTTGATTAACAGTCTGACCTGGTGGAATGAACTCCAAATGTACTAGGTGTCAACATTTTCCTCGTTCATGAAGTTGACAGACATCCAGAATGAGGTTTGTCATCAATCAACATTTCACCTTTTTTGAAATGAAATAACCACTCGTATACTTGAGGTTTTTTTTCCCATAGTGCATTCCTTGTGAACTGTGTTCAACATCACAGCAGTTTCTGCGGTGTTTTTCCCAAGCAGGAAACAACACTTCACAGCTGCACATTGTTCCCTTTTATCAGCCATCACAAAAAAACTAGGTGCAAGCGAAACTGCTTTTACAAAAAAATTCACTGTGACCAGAGAGGACCTTCCCAGGGGATGCCACTGGGTGCACTGTCTCAGAGCCAGTTGCTTGATGCTAGCCTAGCAGGAAAAATTTGTGCTATGAAAGCTCCACTGAGTGGAGATTTTTTTCTGTGGTTTTTTTGGGGGGTACCCCCTCGTATAACACATCCTTCCACATTTCAATTATGTCAAGTAGAATTGTCTAATTGCAACCACAATCAGTTTCCAGCCATTCTTTTTCTACATGGACTCGTTGACATCGTCTCTCTTTCACCCCCCCACCACCACTGAACCTTATTCTACTTGCTGTTCCTCTAGGCTCATCATCCCTGGGTTTCATAGACGAAAACCAGAAAACCATACAACTCAATTTCAAGCGAGTGACCTCCATTGACATAACACCTCTGAGATACACTCTACTATGAAAGAACAAAAACCCAACCAAGCAATACAAACCAAAAATATAGGAAATTTTGGAAACCAGATCAGGTCATGCACCATGGGGGCGGGGGGAGGGTGTCTACTGACAACATGTTCAGGGCAGATATCTTGGCATTCTTATTAAAAGTCAGCTGACCATACGAGTGGAGGTTTATTTCAGAATGTCCCGTTCCATTTCATCTATCCTCTAAGAACAGTGGCGTTCTGGCCGTACTTCTTATGAGACAGAGATGTTCATTCTTCCGGCAGCCCACAGTAAGTTCAATATTCTTCCCCAACATCCTGACTAAAACGTGTCCGCTCTTTTGTCATTGTGCAGCTGTCTTTCAATGATGCTTTGTGCTTTTCCGCATACATTAGATTTGATTCATAAAAGGCTCTTTGTGCATCCACCTTTAAAAAACATGGGGTAAGGAAATATGCATGCTGAAAAGAGCGTACCCTAAAATGTACACTTTATAATTGTAAAGCAAATGCCCATCTGAACAAGACATAGAACGTTGACAACCCACCAAAAGTTTCTCCCAAATCCCTTTCTTTCCTCTAGCAACTTTCCAGCTTTTCATTTCAGCCTGTCTGGGCACCCCTAAACCAAAGAGGTCTGGTTGGCCTGTTATTGAGGTCTGTGTACTGGTATCATGTTTTATGTTCGCTGTCATGTCTTCCATTTGGTGCCCAACATTAGTGTTGCAAGACTCGGCCATGTTCATGCATGTTCCTGTAGTGCATGCATTTTCGTTGCTGTGTAGTATACCATTGTTAAAATGATGCACATGCCACTTGCCCATGTATCCGTCTTACTGTTTTGAGACCTTGGGGTTGTTTGAAGATTTTGGCTATTACAAACAATGCTGGAATGAGCATGTGTTACTTTTCAAGGGGGTAATATATAATAAGCCCAGGCAGCTTGGTGGT